ACTTCCTATAATTTAATAGACTCAAAACTAAAACGAGAACTAACTTCGATCAGAATAAACTGATTTAAAGTTAATCTGTAGACTTAAGGAGTGTATAACACAACAAAAGCCGAAACTAAACGAGAGAGTGTAAAATTCACTCCCTTTTCAAAGTTCGCGGGGAGATGGGGGTAAAAACTGGTGGTAAAAACTTTCGAAATCAACGAAATAACTAATTTTAACAGCAACGGAGACAAAAATGAGGTGAATCACAACATTTGTGAGCAATGCGCATCAAGATAAGTTGTCGATAACTGTAGGATAAACGTAAAAACTAATATGTAAACGAACGGTTACGGAACTGCAATCCGATATGGCCGCCTAGCTTGGACGAAAATGACCTTTGAGCATCTCACTCCACCAATGACCTTGGACGTGACAGACTATTTCAGTCCTTACTAGTGTTTTGTAATCGAAACATAACCTATATTATAATACTAATCAATGTTTTATTTTCTCCACTTGCAGGAAGACACCCGGGAGTCAATTGCCTGGACCAGGAGATACATGAATTGCAGAACATAAACATTAATGAAGCCCAGTAAAACCGTTATACCCTAAAACTGTACCCCCACACTTTAAAAAATATCAATTTTGTGAATAAAGTCTCTCTTGCACAGTTCATGTTCTGCTGGTTGCCTGTTACAAATTGGTGTTGGAGGTGTCCAAATCCAGTCTAAACATGAAATGGGACACATACGAGCCTCCCGAAATAATCTCCAGCCAGAAAACCAACACACATCTCCCATCCGCAGAAAACATCTTACCTGTGCGAGTACCACCGTTGGACATCAACATCGATTATGAGCTGTGGAAATTTCGGATGAAGCCCCTTCTCGCATGTCTGCCTCCACAAGCTCAGTACAATCATATCATGCTAGCAGTGAGTGACGCCACGTTACGGCGTGCAATCGCTGGTGGATTTTCCGCATCCAAACCGCTCAGCTACAACTGTCACATTTTAGAGTAATGTTTCGCAAAAACCTCTCACACCTCCGCGTACATGCACACATTCTTAAGCCGACATCAAGAGATAGGTGGAACGGCTACCGACTGTTTCCATCTGCTTCTTCAGATTGCGTCTTACGCATCACCTAACCTGCCTAATGCGAGCCGAGATAAGATTATTCGCACCCTATTTGCGCAAGGTCTCCTATCGCCAAGCTCATATGCAAGTTACTCCGCCAACCAGCTAAATCAATCTCAGAAGCTCTCGAGGTTGTCAGACAATTCGAGAGCGTAGAGCACATGCTTTCGCCATCCACCAGTACGCCCTGCTATGCTCTCGGGACCACTGAGCAAAGGACAACCATCCCAGCCCCACAACAACGCTGCCCCAATGCTCCATCATCCAACCAACCTACAATGCCATTCACAATTCCTTCCAAACGGAATAATGACCCCAACAAATGCTATTACTATCATCGGTTTGGGCGCAGAGCATGGAAGTGCGGGCACAATAAAAATCTCTAGGTGAGCTTTCTTCTAATATTTCTTTATTTGGAAAATGCTCGAAATCTCCCCTTATCCTTGAGGGTAAACTTCAGGGAGTAAACGTAACTTTTCTGGTTGACACCGGGGCATCGTCCTCAGTTGTCCGCACGGAATTGGGTCAGAGACTCGGGGCGAAACCTAAACCTCTTCCCAGTCAGCTACAGCTAATTACTACCAATGGAATCCCTATCAAGGTAACAGACTCCGCTACCCTTTCCGTGACGTTCCAAGGTTTCACTTGCGATCAGTCGTTCGTCATTTTTGGTGTTATACAACGGACGCCTTACTGGGCGTGGACTTCTTAACTGGCCAAAACGCTGTCATTGACCTAAGACGCCTTCGAATCCGGCTGGGGACACATAGCCTCGCATTGGGTCGACCAGTCAGCCACAATCAGTGTGCTAATGCGTGTGCTTTACCCTAGATGACAATGGTGAACATCCATGATAACCCCCACCTCAGTCTTAAAGAACGTACCGACACTCTGGCTCTGCTACATGAGTGCAGTGATGTGTTTGAAGATGGGCAAGTGATGGGGCGGACTAATATTGTACAACACGAGATCAAGACAGGCGATAACTTGCCCATTAGAACGCCACCGCGACGGGTACCCATTCACTACCAACAGCAGTTGAACACCATGATAACAGACATGTTACGAAAGAAGCTAATTAACCCGTCTACCTCGCCGTGGGCATCTCCAATCGTTCTTGTGAAAAAGGAAGATGTCTCTCTCTGTCTTTGTGTCGACTGCCGTCGTTTAAATGCCATCACACAACGGGATTCTTTTCCCTTGCCTCGCATAGACGCTACCTTAGACACTTTGGGTGGAGAACAGTGGTTCTCCAAATTATATCTAGCTTCGGGCTATTGGCAAGTTGAAATCCGTCCGGAACACCGCCCAAAACTGAGTTTGTTGTGCTTACGGGGTCGTACGAATTCGAAACTATGCCATTTGGCCTATCTAGCGTCCCTGCTACGTTTCTACGGCTAATGCAAACAGTACTTGCAGGGCTAGTCCCTAAATAGTGCCCAATCTGCCTGGACGATATCATCGTGTTCGACCAGTCTCTCGAAGGACACCATGCTAACCTTCGAGCCGTATTTCAACGTTTACGCAGGAGTAATCTTAAGCTGAAAGCCTCAAACTGCAAATTCCTGCAGAAATCCGTTATTTTCCTTGAACATGAGATTACTCCACAAGGAGTGCACACAGACAGCAGCAAAACCCAAGCAATTATCAACTGGCCGACCCCTAAATAGACAGCTGACGTACGCAGTTTCATGGGGTTGCTTCTTACTACCGGCGTTTCGTTCAAAATTTCGCCAGTATAGCAGCCCCACTCCATCGATTGACCAAAAAGGACGGAAATTCGTGTGGACAAACGAGTGCCGGGTAACCTTTGATACTCTTAAAACATGTCTAACTTCTCCCCCTGTTTTAGCACTTCCAAACACATCGGCTGATAGCGGTGCGTTTATCCTGGATACTCACGCCAGTGCTCACGGAATAGGAGCCGTCCTTTCACAGACAACCTCTGACGGACAAGTACGAGTGATAAGATATCCTCGCCGAATGCTGGACAAAAGAGAGACGCGGTATTCTACGACGCGTCGTGAGATGTTAGCTCTTGTATACTTTTTCACTTACTTTTGCCATTACTTGCTGGGGCGAAAATTTCGCATCCGGACTGATCGCAAGGCGTTACAGTGGCTGCAGAACTTTCGTGATGCCGAAAGCCAACTTCCCCGCAGGCAGGAACGCTTACAGGAGCTTGATCTCACTTGTGAATACCGGTCCGGAAACGACATGGCAATGCCGATGTCCTCTCACGCCTGCCACACTGTGAAACCACTTGGTGCTATAGGTGATATTGACTTGGCCTCTCTGCAAGCGGCAGCAGCAGCACGGCAACAATAAGCCGACATCCAAAGAATTACGGGACCTGCCAACAGCTACAAGGAGCATCTGCGGTAAATGGGGTCTCCTTCGTCTAATAGATGACGTCCTCTACATAGTGGAACCAAAATCCAACCCACGACTCCTCGTTCCAAACGCCAAAGCACAGGAGCTTATTAGCCACGTACAGCACCAACTTGGGCATGCTGGTCAACAGAAAACTGAAAACGCCATCCATCAACGCTTCTGGTGGCCGTTACTTCACCGAGATGTGACCGAGTTTTGTAAACATTGCGACTTCTGTAGCCATAACAAACAGCCTACGCAAACGCCTAGAGCACCCCTCGTACCTATGCTAACGGAAGCGCCGAATCAGTGCGTCGTGATCGACATAATGGGACCACTTCCACCGATGTATCCTGGTGATGATTGAATACTTTACAAAATGGTGTGAAGCGGTACCTTTACAACGCCAAGATGCAAATAGCGTAGCCCAGGCGTTCATTGACAACTGGATTACTCGTTTTGGTGCCCTACATTCACTGCATTCAGATCAAGGTGCTGTTTTTGAAAGCCAACTGGTTCATCATATCTGCAACGTATTTAGCGTTCGTAAGACACGCACGACTGCTTAGCACCCAGAAGGAAACGGGCTGGTGGAATGTACTAAGCGAACACTCAAGAATATCCTACGTGCTTTTCTCGATCGCTTATCAACTGATGAGACACTAAGTTTATGTCTCCTGGCTTATCGTTATTCTCCACAGGTTTCTCTCCTGCGTTACTTGTGTACGGTCAAGAATTGCGCCTTCCTATCGAAGTCCAAGTTCCTTCCCCTTTGAGAAGATTTACCATATCGCCTATGTCCGGCAACTACCCAACCGTTCGGCAATTGCTTACTATCTGGTGCGCACTCAACAGAAGTCGTCAAGTTTCCATCAGAAGAATGTGTATGACCGTTTCGCTCGTGGCCCGACTTACGCTGTCGGTGATCATGTTTGGCTTCACCGTCCCTCTGGACCAAATGCAAAATTCTACTCCTCATTGCACGGACCCTTTGAGATTGTGCGTAAGTGTCCACCTACAACTTACTTCTTGAAAAGTATTCAGCAACTGAATGGTGATATTATTCCTGCCCACTACAATCAACTCAAGCCACATCACATTTTCGCTCCAATAATCAGCCTCTCCACAATGAACCACCACCCGCCAGCTGTCAATATGAAGTCCCAGCCGTTGGAGGTGCAGGCTACCCAATTCCACCCTTGGGCACTGAGGACAGTGCCCCCAGAGGAATGGGGCAGTGTAATATAAACCTATATTATAATACTAATCAATGTTTTATTTTCTCCACTTGCAGGAAGACACCCGGGAGTCAATTGCCTGGACCAGGAGATACATGAATTGCAGAACATAAACATTAATGAAGCCCAGTAAAACCGTTATACCCTAAAACTGTACCCCCACACTTTAAAAAATATCAATTTTGTGAATAAAGTCTCTCTTGCACAGTTCACGTTCTGCTTTCATCATCTGTGTGCTTGCTGGTTGCCTATTACAGTTTCATATCGTGGCTATTGTGATTGGTTGTTTAAGGTCATTTGGTAGGTCGTTGTAAAATTTCAAGTTTACCTGTCCATGGTATGAGAAATGGTAATTGTCGTTTGTTCTCTAAATTAAAATTATAGATTCTCACAATATTAGTAGTACTTTGGGTGGTAGCGTACATTTACTTCTATTTCAAGTCAAAATCGGACTTCCCACATTTCGTTCCTGTAATGATTATAATGGGGTCTGGAGGACATACAAGTGAAATGCTCTCTTATGTCTCATCACTCACCACAAAATACCAGCCGCGTACATACGTAATAGCAAAAACTGACGCTTTGAGTGAGGAGAAGGTCTTAAATTGTGAAACCCGTCGTGGAATTCTGGTTAGCCCGTTGTTTCTATTTTTATATGATACCGTAGTTTGATATCAAACGCATACACAGAGCTCGCGAAGTAAGACAGTCATTTATGAGCAGTATCTTAAGTGCATCAGTTTCTTTCCTGCATTCGTTGCCTCTTGTTGTCCAGTGTCGACCGAAATTAGTGAGTCGCTTTATTATTTTACTTTACTCATTATATTTATGTATCATTTGTGCTAAATGGCTTTGTCTCAGCATAGCGTGGTGTCCCTGTTAAAGTAAAGTTGCAACCACATCTGTGGATTCAGGGAGAGAGAGGGAGAGTAAAGGAGAGAAGAAAGTCAGCTAAAATATGACACTGCACGCATGTATCTACATCACTACAAATCGGTCTTCATCAGTATTCTTGTTCAAAACGGACTATTTTTGCTGTTTCACTGGGTTCCCATTGTACCTGTTGATACTTTCAGAATTGAAATACTGCCGATTAACGCAACCAATATCCACCACTATATTGATGTTCGCAAGTAATCAGCAAAGATTGATATTTATTTCCATAGTTCTAGCTGTTATGTAAAGGCACTTTGTTGGTGTTTATCCCCCTGTTTATTTTACCCCGACAAATATATGCCTAGGTGCGTTACATGACTGTCCACTCTGAAGGCTTTATCTGTCATTTTGAATGCTCTGCCCAGTAATCTTTAGTTAATTCTTCCAGTTGGCATATTGATACCATCAAAAAGGCAGTGGAGGTATTTCAGTACCTGTTGTTTTTACGAATTTTGGATACTAGCTGTTCACTTCCACGTTGTCTTTAGTATATTTAACTCTGAAAGTAGAGCAGGTCACCTAACTGGTACTATAGTTGACTTGTTTCCTTGTATAGTGCTTTAGTTGGGTGGTTTATGCGAGAGTGATTTGGTCGGACTTGATGCAGATGTGCATTCATTCAGGGTTTTACACTTGAATCATGCGTAAAACTGGTAAACAAAAGTGCAAGGACACTTGAGTCAACAAAATTGGGTGTGGTAGTGAGAAACTTGGTGAAAGCAGCATCCAAAATCTTAGAAATGACAGTAATACAATTGGAAGATAACGTTCGACCGCACACTCATTACAAAGAATACATATTTGTTGTCATTGTTTTTCCGTTTATATATATGCTAACCTTTTAATTTGTTATGA